TGTTACACAATGTAATGAATCAAGAATGTGGTCAAATATTGTTTAGTGCAAGTATTATTTAGTCTAGTACCCTGGATTAAAAACAAAATAAACAGGCACAACCTCAAAAGTAAATAAAAAGTTCATTAAAAAAAAGTGGGCACCACTATTTTCATAATGTAATAGAATTTGTTTTGCTTATTTCTATATTAATACAATCATTTTCCTAAATAATCTTAACAGTCTCTCCTACAAAATTAAAATAAACAAACATAGTTAGGAAGAAATAATTTTGCATCAGTTGAACATAGCTTTTTAATAAAATAATTTAATATAAGATATTTTCAAACAAAGCAGAATTATTTACTTTAGATCTTAAAATACAGTGTTAGGAAATGATCAACAGTGTAATCCTATATATGTCTATTTAAAAGTAAATTATTCAGTAGGGATTACTCTCAGTTAACTAGGAATAGCCTTATATCATAAATTGTTTTAGCTTTGGATACAGGGGGATGATTTAAATATTAAGAACCAGATTATTAAGCATAATTTTCTTTTTTCAGCATGATTAGGGGAAGGAGCTCTTAGGTCATTTCACATATAATTTATACAATAAAGGATGATTACACTTACACATCATGCAAGGTCCATGGTTTACCATACAAAGCACAATTACTAGGTTAAACAAACCATAATAAAACAGGTTATGATTTTTTTTTTAGAAAAAAGGTTAAGTATATACATTGCACTAAAACAGACCAAATAAAATTCATTATCGCTAAGAGGACAATTCATTTAGTGGAATTTTGGCTTGACATGGAGATAAAGCATATCATATGAATAGTTGTGGAATGGGATAACTAGTAGAACACAGCAAATTACCCCTTAAAAAACAGCTGTACAAAAACTTATCCTGAACCAAAAGATATACTTAATTATATATGTTGCAGGACTCATTACTTTAATTCTGTGTAAGAAAGATGGGGAGCTTCTTAAATTGCACATGCCCTTTGTAGTTTTCAAAAATGTAAATTATATTTTAAATTTATTAGAAAAAACTTTGGTTAATTAAATATTTTGTAAAGCAATCAACTTAGCTGATTAAACACTGTCATAATGGAGAAAATAAAAACTAACATGAAAACCCAATAGGCAGCAGACAAAATATTGATGTAAGATGGGTATTATTAAATAGAATAGATACTATTTTAGAAGTATTTAAAAACATTTAAAAAGCATTAAGAAGGGGCAGTTTAAGAACTAAATAAAAATGCATTGGACTAGAACCTCTTGGTGCACATTGGCTAAAATTATTTTATTCTTTATGTTTTTGCTACAGAAGTCAGGAAAAAATAGTTACAAAATAGGAATTTTAGAAGTAGAAAATTATGTTGATTTATGGCTCAGATGTGGTGGCACGGGGAGCATCACGTTTACAAATTCTATACAAAAGCCAGTGTGAATGTCCCAAACCAACCCTGGAACTTCAAGGCAAGTTGAGAATCAAATCAAGTTGCTACATCAAATAAGATGTATTTCAATCTCATTATACAATATGAGCTAGATTTTCAACCTCATATATGAGGTCTTTGCTTGTGATTATGTGCCTGTAGTACATATTTAGAAGCTCAATTAAATCCTTTTAAATGATTTGGATTTCAGCCCTGGTACTCCCAAGAACAAAAGTTGATGTAGTTCAATGTTATTGCAAAATACTATTTTTAAAATTAAAACTTATTGAAATCTACTTTTTATTTCTGATTTGTTTGTCCACTGTAACTGGAATGTGTGATTTGTCTTTAGGCGTGCAGAGGCCTGGCCAATGGGACTAGTTTTGTAAAGCTTTCCTGTTGCTTTTTTTTGGCCACAGTGTTCAGTCTTTACCCCTCTCTGACTATCTAATCACAGCCTTCTTGAATTTATGCTTTTCACTCAGTGAAAATCTGTAAATCAGTACCTTAAGCTTCTAGAAAGCCGTATGTTCTTTGGAATTCCTTTCTCTGATACTGTTGCACATTAATTCTGGACTAGTAGTTAAGTCCAATGTTTACAATTATTACTATAGTAACGGTATCCTTAGCCACTGAGATATTGTTCTGATTTGTATTATGTAGCAAGGCTAAAATTGGTGCTTCCTGTTTTGTTTTGGGCTTCTGTATTTTTGTTTCTCTTAGACAAATCAAAATCAAGAAATATCCTTAACATTTGAACTTAATGGAGATATCATTAGCTCCTTAGTACCTTAAGCTATATTGTTTCATGAACAGATTCTGCTGCTAAATGCACAAAAAATGAAAGCTTAGAAATAAAATCCATCCATGAATTTGGTTTGTCTTGATTTTCAGCATCAGCATATTGCAGCAATCTGCTCATTATTAAGGAAGTATTTGTGTTAATAGGATGTTACATCCAGCTTAAACCAGTCTTCAAGATCTATTGACATTAGTGGGATGTGAAAGTGCTTACAACTGCCAAATTTACTGATTTAAGTGTTGGATTTAGGTTGGAAAGACTGAGGTTCAAGTCCCTGTTCAATCATGGGGTTTAGTAAATGATTTGAGCCAATCATTTTCTGTCTAGGCATTTGTCAGGAGTTAATACAGTATGGACTTGAACACGCACTCTTTCTCAGTTATCATGGGGGAAAAAATTAAGCACCATGTTAGCTGCTTAGAGTTTGCTGACCTTTCAAAAAAAGTGGCAAAAAGATGCAAAAATAAGAGGAAGGTTTGTATTCAACACACTAGGTATTTTATATTAGATCACAGCAAAGCCCTCTGTAGATATAGTGACATAATGTATGAAGTTAATGTATGAATTTATGACTGGACCTTTTTGAACTGATTACATTAAGAGTTAAAATGGTTGCCTTTGAATCATCCTCAACTCCTAGTGACAGCCTCAACTAATCCCTAAAGTTTTGTTGGCAAGATTTTTGGTTTGCTCTAGCTTTCTTCTTGCAAGGGCTGAGAATGAGTAACTGACCCAAAGTGATCCAGCTGGTTTTATGCCTAAAGCTGGACTAGAATTACAATCTCCTGATTTCTAGCTCAGTGACTTAACATACAATTGTAAGGACTGGAATTCACTTTTAGGAATGTTTGCTCTGGCAGCAAACTGTCTTTTGTCATTTGAGACCAAGTAGGTAACAACCCCCCAAAAAGCTTTTAAGTTGTACCATCATTTAGGATTATTTTTTTTCCTAAATAAATTTGATATGTACCAAAATATTTTGGAGTCATGTGAAAAGACTTTTTGATAGTATCTTTGTAAGTAATTGGCTTGGAAGTGTTAAAATATATGATATACAAATGTTTAAATAAACAGTAAGAGATATACTTTTTGCTATAGCTTGTTTTTAATGTAATCTTTATTAATGTTCTACATGTAAAATAAACATGAAACACGATACAGAAATGAAAACAGAAATATGAACCTGCAAAACTAAACATCTAACTTAAAAAACTTTAGCCCTCCTATTCTAAAAAGAATTAAAAGACCATCTTACTCTAGATTAGTTTTCAACTATTGTAAAGCTTGTCTAGGTCTAGTTAGAAGACTATTTTGACATAAACCACCATGGACCAATTGTTTACTGCTGCATGGATTATCTCTGGAGAGAATATATACCATTGGTAGGGCAAAGGAGTAATAGAAAACAATGAAGCAAAAAGTCAGTGAAATAGATAATCAACAAACAAGAGTTAGTTAGGTTGTCATCTTAATGCCATCTCCTCCAGCAAATCATTTCAGGAAATGGCAAAGCTTGTTAACTAGAGAGCTGATTTTCTCATCTCTCATCTCTCTCGCGATTTTAAAAAAGTTGGTCGCGAGGAAGTCGATGCAAGGTTTTCCATTGCCAGCTATCACTTTTCCCTTCCTGCAATTTTAACCAGTTTTTCTTTAATCCAAGCCAAAGTAACAATGGCTGTTGAAGCTCCTCCCGAGTGCCTCTTCAGCATTTACCTTCAACAGGTCTGCGAGCTCGCTTTCTAACGCAACAACTTTTTCAGAAATGAACGTATGAAGGAATGAACGAATCGTGAACTTCCTTTTATCCTAAAGATATTGCTCTATGCTCTTTGGAAGCAAGGGAAAGGCCGCGAGATAACTTATGTAGGCGGGAGCGCATGTTTGGCTGTCACCACTACAGTACTTGGCGCGCGCCCAAGGGTGGAAGCGTGCACGAGGCAGCTGTTATCACCCGAGGGCCTCGGTCCAGTCTGCTGCGGGCCAGGTTCGCCCCTTTCTCTACCTTTTGAGGAAGTAGCACGCACCGAGGGAACTTCTCACTTTCGCCTCCGAGTGGTAGTTTTTACACAGCAAATATCCGTGCGCGCGCCCGCGCTCACGAGTTCTGTGACATGGTAGAGTGCCGGAGATTCATTGCGGCATAAGCTGGTATCTCACGGCACCTCTAAAGTCCTCGTCTTCACCATTCCAGAAGACTTATTTCCTGACAAATTGGAGAAGCCTGGATTCTGTAACAGAGGGGCTTTCGCCAACCCGACCCACTCCATTCCGCCCTGCCATCATAGCTCCGTTCTCCGCAAGACGATCTTTGGGCATGGGCGCCGCGCGCAGGGCACAGAGAAGTACGATGCCCGTCCTGGGGCGCAAAAATGGACTCTGGAAGGTTACATAGCCGTGAATATGCTGCTAAGGGAGAGCTGTTGGAGGCGGCACTGTTTTAGCACCTAGGCGAGGGAGGCCCAGGCCGTGTCGGCAGCGGGATCTTTCCGCCAAGAGGGACAACCACGCCAAGCTCCAAGAACATGTCCGTCTTTCTCCCTTACTGTCTCCTTAACAGGCGCCTCGCCTCCGCCTTCTCTTCCCTTCCCCAGCAGGACCCGCCCGCGGTGCGGCCTGTCCCCTCCCTCCTTGGGAGCAGCCGGCGGCTGCAAAGCGGGGAAAGGGGAGGGTCCAGAGCGCTCGACGGGCGCGCTGAACCGGGCACGGAGCAAGGCTGGCGTCGGTCACAACAGAGCCGAGCCTCCCGCCGCCCGCGCTGCTGCGGCATGTCTGAGGCCGGTGCGGCCGGGCTTGGAGCTGCAGCTGCAGCGGCAGCAGGAGCAAGCCTTGGGGTCAACGGCGGCGGGGCCGGAGCACTGCAGCAGGGTTCCCCGGCCGCTGGAGGGTTGCCTGCTTGTGGTCCCGCCCGAGCTGTTATCGCTGCTGCCGCAGCTGCTACTGCTGAGAGCCCTGCAGGAGGAGGCAGTGGAAGTGGTAGTAGTAGCAACAGCGGCGGGGGGCTCGGCTCGGCTCGTATCGCGGGGAAGAAGGCACAGCTTCGCTCTGCACCCCGCGCCAAGAAGCTAGAGAAACTGGGAGTTTATTCTGCCTGCAAGGTACCCAGCCAGCTCTAGGGTTGGGGAGGAAAAACAGATAAGATTAAGGGATTGCACCGACGTCCAGCACAGAGGTCGCCGCACTTGCTGCTTGCCCTTAGGGGGCGCCCAAAGATGTAGCTGTTGCAGTTTATAGTTGTCGTCAGAAGGGGAGGTGCGGGAGTGGTTCGCTGGGACTGCAGCCGGTGCTTTTAATGAAATAAATAGGCTCTAAAACGCAGCGGTTGGCTCGGTGGTCATTTTGAGGGTACGCCTGTGCGGTTTCCCGCTGGATTTCCTATTAGTGTTTAGCGTGACAATTGTTTTCCAATTGGAAAAGTGGTTTTCTGCTCAATTATTCATGTGTACCTGTGTATTTTATAAAGAGCAATTCTGATTAATTATTTCTTGCATATATCCATGGTTTTCATCTGCAGTACAAAATTATGTTGCATCAATTGGAGTTCTGTGTGCGAAATACTACATAGAGTTTAAAAATATCAGACGTCAAATATAAAAAATTCTTGAAAATGAAACTGTCCTAGAAATTGTCCATGTGTGGAACAACTGTGAATATTTAGGGTAAAAACTTTTTAGTGCTGGTCAGATCTTCACTAGATCTTCATTTCATTTGTTTCAACTCTGGCAAGATGCAAAACGTGCTAAAATTTAGCCCATATAACAATTGTCAGAGATCAATTCCCCTTTCCTTTGTTCAACTGCTCAGTGGAGACACCTTTGGTTACCTCTCTGTAATCTCTGCACAGCAGTATTTTTCAGTTTACCTTTCTCTGGCTTTGTTTTGCTTTTTGTCTGCAAAGCTTAGCTCAGTTTCTTCACTTGAATCTTTTGTTATCATTCCATGTGGTTCATTTCTGTTCTGCTTTTGAATAAGTTTCTCCAGCCTGGTGTCCTTCAAATGAGCTCTGATAATTACAATCACAGTGGCCCTGAGAATAAAGGAAATTGCATCTCTACAAGTCTGGATGGCATCAAGCTAGGGAGTAGGTTACCTGCTCCATTCTGTTTTGTATCTTTAACACTCTACTGAGTTCTATCAAAGTTGTTTTCTTCTTTGTGTCTACTAGCCTATGATCCCATCATCAATCTTTATTTTTTTAGGTCTATCTTTTAATATGCATATTCCTAGTGATATGTTGGAAGAAGTGTTTTAACGAGGAGAATACAGATGTGTGCATTATGTGCTACCATTCTGCTCCTGTTTTTTGCAGTAGTAAGAAAATAAACTATTTTGGCAGCAGTCATAAAAAGATACACTGCTGAAACAAAGCAGAATATCAATGCAAGTAACAGAGTCAAGAGAACTCAACCCCAACAGGCTGTGCCAGCTTTGGTTTTCATTGTGTTATTTGCTTGGTAAAATGCTGTTTCAATTGCTTCTCATGTAAACATAAAATTAGGCACAAAACCAATTTCTGCTTTAAACAGCCACTGTATTTGCTAAGAGATAAACAATTCTGCTTCCTGATTTTTTTATATTTTTTTTCCAGCAGGGGAGGTTTGCAAAAAAGTCATTCCAGCACTCCCTATTGAATAGTGTGTAGTGCCAGTGAATGTGAGAGAGGAGGAGAGTAAAAGAGATACTTGTATTGGAGACAAGCAGTTATAGCTCCTCCTGTTCACCCACTTCCTTCTGCCAAATCTTGGCAACAGAGCCTTTGTTTTGACAGGATGGCAGCAGAAGGAGGTGGGGATTGTGGCTTGTTCCTTCTGCAGCCTATGGCTGACAAGAACTCTGACACACGCACACAAAAGTGGATTATCAATTGTGTGAGGTTAGAAAGAGCTCAGCAGCCTGGAAATACATTGAAAGGATTTTTTTTCTCTGTTTATATCAATGTTATTACTGCAAAAGGAAGCTAGGTCAAATAAAACCATGCAGAGCTTTATTTATCCTATTACAGTTTTTGAAGAAATTTTGCTCATTGTGTGCATTCTTCCTTTTTCTCATTTTAATCTAGTAGTACCATGTACTATGTAGGTCTGAGTGGTGGTGACAGAAGTAATATCATTTAGATAGTCCAGTGTTATATAGGGATTTGAAATTTTATCTTCCAAGGCCCTAGTTCTCCATTCTTATATTCTTGTCTTTGAACAGATTTTATGTAGTGTTTTACATATTTTAATTTCATGATTGTATAAAATAATATTAAAAGATGAACACGGCCTCAGAAGTGGTTAAGTGCAATAATTAAAAAAGAAAAAAATGATCTAGTAACTGTTATAAATAGAGCAACTTCCAGAACTTTGACCATGTTGCTAAAAGATTCTTATTTTTTGTAATTAAAAAAGTACAAACCGTGACACACCATATATATTGAGACATGTACTGCTGCAAATCAGGAAAGATTTATCTTTCCTATGTTGTGTTATAATTCATTTAACTAATTCTATCACTGGAAAATCATAGATATCTTTATAGATTCAAATAGGGATATAGCCAGGAAAAAGAAAAAAATGACTTTCATGTAGAATGATTGATTCAGAGTCTTGTTATCAACACACTTCATGTTAGCCTAAAATGCTATAAAAATAGGAAAAAACTGTCCAGCTCACTAATGTTTCAACTCCTGAGTTACTCTCCAACAGCCAAATTATTGTAACTATTTTTCTGAACATAAGAGGCATCCAGCATGTAAAAGCAAATTCGTGTATTAATCTCTTTAAAATCAAAGGATTTTGCTAATCCTTTGCTAATTGCTAATCCAAGGAGTAGTTAAGGTATACTTAATACAGGTAATCCTCGACTTACAATAGTTCATTTAGTGACTATTCAAAGATTACAACAACACTGAAAAAAGTGACTTACGATCATTTTCCCCTTACCAATGTTGCAGCATTTCCATGGTCGTGTGATCAAAACTTCGCCATTTTACGACTTTTCTTGCCACAGTTAAGTGAATCACTGCAGTTGTTCATTTAATAACATGATTGTTAAGTGAATCTGGATACCCATTGATTTTGCTTCTTAGAAAGTTGAAAAAGGTGAACACATGACCCCAGGACACAGCAAAGTCAATGGGTATCCAGATTCACTTAACAGTCGTGTTATTAAGTGAACAACTGCAATGATTCACTTAATGTGGCAAGAAAAGTCGTAAAATGGGGCAAAATTCATTTAACAAATGTTGATGTAACATTTGTACATGTAACAATATATGAATGAAACATACATTTGTAAATTATTTTGGAAATAATACTTGCAACACTCCTTGATCAGTATTTAGATAGAAAATTATACATTTTTGCTGCATAATTGATTTATGGAATGCAATGACTATACAATACATATCTAAGTGCCTGTGTTTTGAGCAGAACATTGGTAAGTGTATCACAAACTGCTTGAAATAATTGTCAACATTAACGCCACGATCCCAAATCCTTAATCTCTATCCACAACGACACCAACCTATATACCAGTATAGGTTTTTATATGGGGTATTTTAGAGCAGGCCTTTATTTATTTAATTTGATTTTAGAATAGATATTTATTGTGATTTTTATTATCGCCTGTTCACCGCCCTGAGTCCCGTAAGGGAGATAGGGCGGTATACAAATCTAAATAAACATAAACAACACCAATTTGATTGGAGCAACACTAAAATCATCAGCCATGCTACCACCCACCACACTCATGAGTTCATCGAAGCTTGGCATTCCACAAGCAATTCCATCAATAGACACATTGACCTATAACCAGCCTATGAACCCTTCAGAATCCAAATCAACCTCACAGCCAACCAGATAGAGCACCAACTCTCAACCAACCTACCCAAGGCCCTCTTCCCCTCCACCAGCACTTCACTTCCTGATGACCTTGACCTGTTGTAACCTCATCACAAGACTCATCATAAGCCTCTCAGATGACTCACCTGACCCATCACAAGACCCTCACTTGACACTTGAAGCCTTTATAAACAAAAGAGTACTGACATTGACATCCCCTAAACCAGAGGTCCCCAACTTTTTGGGCTCCAGGGACTGGTTCCGTGGAGAGAGATTTTTCTGCGGACTGGAGGGTGCGTGGTTTTGTGTGCTGCCTGCATCCCGCGGATAGGGCTTTGCTTGTTTGTGCGGACTGGTTGCTGGCATGCTGCGTACTGGTACTGGTGCATGGACCAAGGGTTGAGGACCCCTGACCTAAACTCTGCTGAAGATGATACCTAGCCTGGTAACAAAACATTTGGAAACCAACCCACAAGCTTGGAGAACAAACCTTTACCTTAACATTAATGCCAACACAGAAAATCTAATTTCTGATGATTTAACATCACAAGAAATTTCCTTAAAAGTTTCTGCCTGATCACTATACTCAATAAAGAAACAAGTAAATACTGTACTCAGTAAACAAATGGACAAATGTTTTTTTATTTTTAATTTATAAACTAATAATATAATTGTCCTGGTTGGTTAGTAAAAGTGACACTGAATTGTTAGTAAAATTAACAGAATTATACAATTTGACAAATTATATATTGCATGCACAATTACTTGATAGTGTATAATACTTTATTGGGGCATAAGGAACTTAACAATTTAAAATTTAACTCTAAGGAAGTTTTAGGAAAAATGAGAAGGTATAAATAGAGGTGAATTAGAAAGCAGTATAGTAGTCCTTGATTTATGACCACAATTGAGCCCAAAATTTCTGTTGTTAAGTGAGACATTTGTTAAGTGAGTATTGCCCCATTTTACGACCTTGCCACAATTGTTAAGTAAATCACTGTAGTTGTTAAGTTAATAACATAGTTGTTAAGTGAATCTAGCTTCCCCATTGACTTTGCTTATTAGAAGGTCGCAAAAGGTGATCACATGATCCCAGCATTCTGTGACCATCACAAATATGAGTCAAGTGTCTGAATTTTGATCACATGATCAAGGTCATAATTTTGAAAAACGGTCATAAGGTACTTTTTTCAGTAATGTAACTTTGAATGGCCACTAATGAAGTACTGTAAATGTAGGACTACTTGTATATCCATTTATAGCAGCTGCATGTG